GAGCTATAAACGAATTGCTACAGTGTTTCGGCCTCGTCACGGTGATGGTTTTGCCTAAAAACTGCCGCGGATCTACGGGGGACCGTGACGGTCACCGTATATTTTTTGCGTCAAATTTGCGTGAAAAAAATCCCGCCACAGATATGCTACATCTTTGACAGACCACCACAGACATGCTACGTCCATGACGGTCTTTAATCCATATCATTCGAAAAAATTGGACGGCGTCGAGCCTATGGGCAAAAATATTGTTCATTATATATATATATATTATAGAATTACGTTATCTTCTTGTGCTAGGGCGTTCCCCATAAGTGACACACTGCAGTGCTCCCCGATTGTGGTGAAAAATAAGCAAGGGTTTGCGTGACATTTTGGACAAGCGTGGGTTAAGAAGCTAATCCAAGATATTAGGCTTTGTCTAGTAAAGTAAGAACATTTACAGTTAAGAATAAAGAGTTAGTGGATACATTGAGACGAATGAGAGTAAACTTAGCTTGTCTATAGGAAACTAAGTGGAAAGGGGAAAAAACTAAGGAAATAGATGAGTATGAACTTTGTATATAGGAAAGGATAATAAAATGAAATGGTGTAGGCTTAATAGTCGACAATGATTTAAAAAAAAAAATAGTTAATATCAAGAGAGTAGATGATAGACCCCTATTAATTAAACGTATATTAAGGGAGGAGATAATTAACATAATTAGTGCTTATGCACAACAAGCAAGATTAGAGGGTAGAATTAAGAGACAATTCTGGGAAGACATGGATGGACTAGTCCAAGACATACCAAATGGAGAGAGGACTTTTTTAGGAGGGGATTTAGATGGTTATGTAGGGAAAGATAGTAGAGGATATGAAGAGGTACATGGGGATATGGATTTGGTGAAAAAAATGAGGTGGGTGAGGCCATTCTAGATTTTGCGACTTAGCAATAGCAAACACTTTAAAAAGTGAGATGAACATTTAATAGCCTATAAACTTGGATCATATAAAAGCCATATAGACTTCTTCTTAGTTAAGAAAGGTGGATTGGCCTCATGTAAGAACTGTAAGATTATCCTTGGAGAGAGTTTGACAACGCAACATAGGCTCGTAGTTATGGACATTTTGCATAAAGAGATGGAAGAAAAGGGGTGAAATTAATAGGTGTCCAAGAACTAGGTGGTAGAATCTAAAGAATGGGAAGATAAACTTATTTAGGGATAAATTTGTTAAAACAAGAAATGAAACTCTGAACATGAGGTCGATGTTATGTGGAATGAGATGACTGATTGTATTAAAATGTGGCAAAAGAAGTTTAGGAGAAACTAGAGGGAAAAGAAATTCCGATAAGAAAACTTGGTGGTGGAGTGATAAGGTTCAGAAGGCTTCTCAATGTAATAGAAATGATTAAAACTTAAAAAAATATAAAAATGTCGAGAAAAATGCTAAACAAATAGTGAGGCTAAACTTAAGGCATATGATAATTTATACGGTAAATTGGGAACAAGAAAAGGCGTAAAAGATGTATTCAAATTAGCAAAAATGAAAGAGAAAAGTGTAGTGACGTAGAGGATATTAAATGCATTAAGAGTGAGAATTAAAGGGTATTGGTGAAGGATGAAATGGTTGACTGTTTATTTTTCATAAATTATTTAAATGACAAACACAATGGGAACATAGCGGTAGAAGGATGATTGTGGAGGTAAAATATATTTGTATGATTAGGACATCAGAAGTGAAAGAAGCTTTAAAGAGGAGGGGCCAGATGGTATCCCGATAGACGTTTGGAAGTGCATGGGGGAGATCGGCATTGACTGGACCAAGCTGTTCGACAAAGTGTTAAGAACAAAGAAAATAGCAGACGAATGGAGGAAAAGTACTGTGGTGCCTATTTACAAGAACAAAAGAGACGTACTGAATTATGCGAACTATTGAGAGTTCAAACTTATGAGCCACACTATGAAGTTTTGAAAGAGAGTGATTGAGCAATGACTAAGGCATGAAACTAGTGTATCGGAAAACTAATTCAATTTTATGCTAGGGAGGTCAACAATTGAGGCTATTTTCCTACTTAGAAAATTGATTGAGAAGTTTAGGGCGAAGGGAAAAGATCTCCACGTGGTCTTTATTGATATAGAGAAAGCTTATGATAGAGTACCTCAAGACTTAATTTAGTGGTGTTGGAAAAGAAAGGAGTTTCTAGATACTATATCGACTTAGTGAGAGATATATGCGAGGAAGTGCTAGCTAGTGTGCGAACCAATGTAGAAAAAATCAAACCGGAACGGTTAAACGGACATGGGCCCGGAAGCGGTTCAACTAGCTTAACCTGTAAACCAGCCGGTTTAATCGTTCTAATTGGGCACGTCCCAGGCAGTCAAAATAGTGTTAAAAAAATAAAAAATACCAAAAAATCTAATAAAATATGGAAAGTATATTTAAAGAATGATTAAACAAACCACATCCAAATGAAGTTGAAAATTAATGAAAAAATGGATTTTAAAGAATCGATTTGTGCCCAAGGGTATTTTGGAAAATTTTCCAAAAAGATGAAAAAATATAAAAATAATTATTGATAGCCAAAATAATTTCCAATCTTTGCCATAATGATGAAAAACATTAAAAAATGCATTACAAATAAAATCCTTATTGTTTGGGATTTTATATAATTTTTTTAAAAATACCTGTCTAGTCACCAAAACCGGTCGAAACCAGAACCGGCAAGTGGCCAGTTCCAATCTAACCGGGTGATTTTCCCTGCAATGGTGCGAACAATTAGTGGAGAGACGAGTGAGTTTTTATTGATAATCGTTTTATCTCTTCAAGTTAATTATGGACAACTTAACTAGGCACTTACATGATGAGGTACCGTGGTTTATGTTGTTCGTGGATGACATAGTTTTGATCGATGAGACTCGAAATGATATCAACACAAAGTTAAAACTTTGGAGGAATCTTCTAGAATCTAAAGGTTTTAAAATTAGCTAGACTAAGATAGAGTGTATGGAATGAAAATTTAGAAATAATAGGAGTAGAAGCGAGGAAGTAGTTGAGATTGACCGTCAAGAAATATCAAAAAGACGTACTTTCGATATCTTGGGTCAGTAATCCAGGAAAATGGAGAGATTAAGAAGATGTCGCGCGCACAATTAGAGTTGGGTGGTGAATGGAGATGTGCAATTGGAACTTTATGTGATCGTTGTATACTAATGAAGCTGAAGGGGAATTTCTATAGAACAGCTGTGAGACCAGGTTCTCTTTATGGAAGGAATGTTGGGCAGTCAAGAAACAACTTACGCATATGTTGACTATAGGTAAGATGAAGATGTTGCGATGGATGAGTGGCAAGACCAGAAGGAATAGAATTCAAAATGAATTCATTCAAAAGAACTTATGTGTAGCTCCAATAGGCTATACGATGAGAGAAAAGTAGACTTTGGTGGTCTGACTATGTGCAATAGAGACCCATTAGAGCACCTGTTAGGATGTGCAAGTTGGTTCAAGTGGAAGGCTAAAAAAGGGTAAGGGATAGGCCCAAAAAGACATGGTTGGAAGTAGTGAGAAAAGATACGAGGACTTATGACCTCATTGAGGGTATGGCAGCGCGGCTATGACCCTTGATAAAGTAGAATGACTGACCAGGATTCATGTAGTGACCCGAAATAGTTGGGAAAAGGCTCTGATGTAGTTTTTAAGGAAAAGGTAACTCTAGCACCTGAATTTTCCTTCGTGGTGTTTTTCTTTTCAAGGGTGGTGGAGGTGGACGTAGAAAATTTTCTATCACTCCCCTGCTGTACCCCTCTCCTTAATCGACTTTCTTTAGAAATAGAGATGGTTTTAGAATATAAAGGATTAGATAATTTCGGTTTGGGATAATTATATTTGTGGTCTGATCACTGATACTTTCAGTGGTCATTTAAATGATAAATTGTTTGGCATATATTGGTCTTTGAAAATGTGTTATTTATTTTATCTCTATTTTATTATCTGTTATACGATAATGAGCTATCTGAATTTTCCATTTTGTGAAGTATATGTGTTTGAAGGACCAATAGTATTTTTCCTTTTTAAAAAAATTACTATGAAATATCTTGTTTTTGGAAAAACATTATCTTTGAAACATCATCTTTTATCTGATAAAGCATTTCAGTTTGGGGAAGGGTAGATAAAATGGTAAATTTTCTACTGTCCTCTCCCAAGTAAGATGTATTGATATCCAAGGCAGGCTGATGGGTCATGTCCATTTTCATTACAAATACATGCTTTGGGCCTTTTTCGAGTAACTATTATTTTAGCATTTTACAAAGATGATCTTAACATCATTTTTGATAAACCTGATGTTACGATTACATGTTTATTATATACTCTTCATTTTAATCTATTAGAAGGCCATATTATGTTTAAATGCAACAAAGATTGATTCTTTGACATTTTGGTAGGGAATCTCCTGGTCATGTTTGAAATGATAAATTATTTTCTCATGTTCATTTTTCAGAAATGGGGTTGAGTCCTATTCTCTTTGAACAACCAGTTCATAGAGACAACTGGGATGGTCTTCGTGAAGTTAGTCAGGTGGCTAGGGATATATATGGGGTATCTGTTGCGGCTGATGAAAGTTGTCGGGGACTATTTGATGTTCAAAGAATTATACATGGCAAGCTTGCTGATGTTATCAACATTAAACTGGCCAAAGTTGGAGTCTTGGGGGCTCTTGAGATTATTGAAATTGCAAGAAAAGCCGGTCTTGATTTGATGATTGGTGGCATGGTGGAGACAAGATTGGCAATGGGCTTTGCTGGTCATCTGGCTGCTGGTCTTGGCTGTTTCAAGTAATTTCAAACACCTTTTCTAATTACCTCGAGCATCTTGTTGATGGCATAGGTTTCATGTGTCGCTTTCTTTATTTGGTTCTGATTAAGAAATCATGTGTCTTAAATTGGATTGTATGCTGATCTATTTGGTGGATTTGCTGCAGATTCATTGATCTGGACACACCCCTTCTCCTTTCAGAGGACCCAGTTATAGGTGGTTATGAGGGTATGATCCCTTGTGATTTGATTCTCAAGGCATTTTTCGTTGCATATGTTATCAAATTATGTAGCTTTATACATAGTGGAGTGCAATTAATGGGCATCATTGCATGTGACGTCTGAACTCCAAAGTCAAATCTTTATGCAAGAACAGTAATATGATGGATGACAACTTGCAAAGTCCAGCCCTGCAAAGAAACATAACACGTATGCATGCATAAAAACATAGGTGCACGCAAAAATATGTATCTGCAAACATTTGGAGAAACTGTTAACATAAACAATAATGAGTATTGGCTTGCTTGCATGTACATATATGTTTTTGTGTTGTGTGTGTGTGAGAGTCTGAGAGAGAGTGTGTGGGTTTGCTATTCTGTGTGCTGTTTAGTGATATTGATTAACTATCACTAATTTAATGTACTTGCATTTTCTTGAACAGTTTCTGGAGCTGTTTATGTGTTCAACAATGCTAGAGGCCAGGGTGGATTTCTTAATTGGAACTGCAATGAGTGATGTGCGTCTATTGTCCTTCTCTCCATTTGTTTTTTTCTTCCATTGATGTCATGCATTTGAAATTGTACGAAATTCAACGTGTGTGTGATAATAATGAAGAGAAAATGCTTTTATATTTATCACTGAAAAGGCAAGAAGCCATACTTTCAATGCCCAATTGAATCGTCTGTGTTTTTAACATGGATTATTCTTCTATTTGGAAATATTGTGTTATTTTATCCATTTGGAGACAGAAGTTGAAAATGACAGCTCTGACACAGCTCGAATACATTGATTTTGAATAAGAGTAAGGGACTGTTTTCTTTTTTAATCAACAGAGAACATACTTTTTTTTGTGGGAAGTGTTGACAGTGTATCTGTATTACTGTATGAATAAATGACGACCCAAACAACTTCAACATGTGATTTTCTGGCCCAGAAAATGTGGCCTGCTTTGAGATCATATAGAAAAAATGTTGCTCAGGAAGAGCACACTGTACATCATGTATGAAACTAAAAGGCAGAAAAAATCCAAAAGGCTAAAACTAGGTAACCGAGCGCAAAAGGTTGCTGGATGGGTTCCACTGATAAGTTGTATAGCCCCTCCTTTTGCGAGAGCATCCGCACTAGGGTTGGCCTCACGCCACGTGTTTTGAAAGGAGATGCAAATAAGCCTTCAGAGGAAAGAAATGAGCTCAAGTGGATAAGCTAAAATCCAGACTTTCAATTGGCTAGCCTTCTCTCACAAAGCACTCACAGTGGATAAGCTTCAGAAAAGAGGGATCCCCATTCCTAATAGGTGTGCTTTATGTGAATGTGCGGAGGAAACTAACTTCCACCTCTTCATTCTCTGTGACTTCTCCTATGACATTTGGGGTCGAGTCCAGAAATTTTTTGGCATAGACTGGGTCACTCCTCCCTCGGTCAAGGCCGTCATCTCTTATGAACTTGACTCATGTTGGCCTAAGGCCGGGAGAATCATGTGGAAGGCAACTGTAGCTGCAACCATTTGGACTGTTTGGCTGGAAAGAAACTCTAGAATCTTTCTTGGCTCTAAACTCCAATCTTCAGCTATTTTCCAAAAGACCATCTCTTTGGTAACTTTCTGGGCCTCGCACCACAAGGTTTTTGTGGGCATTCTAGGAAGTTTCTTCCTTCCCCAATGGCACAATCTCCTTCACCTTTGACCGCACTTTACTACAAGGCCAAATAATTGGCAACCTCCTCCTGAGGGGTTCATCAAGTTGAACTTTGATGGATGCTCCTTAGGTAATCCGGGCCCAGCAGGTGTAGGAGGGGTTTTTAGAGACCACAAAGGCATTATCCTTCTCTCACTTTGGAACACATTGGCCATAAGGACTCACACATCAAGCTGAAGCCTTGGCTCTCTTATTAGCCTTTAAACAATACAGTCTTGGGGGCCTTCACCTCATAGTGGAAGGTGACTCAAAGAATGTCATCTCCTGGGCAAGCAGAACTAGCCCTCCACCTTGGCACCTCATTGCAATTTTTGACGAGATACACCACATATGCAGGGCTATGGACGTTTCATGGAGGCATACATGGAGGACGTCCAACGATTACGTAGATCAGTTGGCGAAAGAGGGAGCTAGAAGTCAAAGTCAAGATACTCACGCCGGGTCCACCTTCTTTTTTTCACGGGACCATTGGCACACATCTTAAATCTCCCTACTCATGCTTGTGTTTTTATTTTCTTGATAGCTCTTTGTAAATCTTTGTATGTGGGCACCTGTATAAGCCCCTTTTGAATATGATAGCCTGAATTTTTTTTTTGGCCGAGTCCCCAGTTGTGGGTGACTTCGGAACACCCTTACTATGTAAATTTTAAACTTTATAATACAAGTTAACTTCATAAAAAAAAAAGAAATGAGCTCAAGGTGCCATGGGCAAGTGGAGGAACCTCAGCCCATGCTATAACATTTTCTGAGTCACCCCAATGACGGTTGTATCTCTTGATACCCTCTCATAGTGCAATTTCTTCTGCTGTGGTGGACTCAGATGTGACCAAAGTATGAGTGGAGAGAGTTGTGATTGTGGTCTTTGAATAAGCCTCCATAACCTACTGGGCCTGGGTTGCCTAGGGAGCATCTTCAAAGTTAAGCTTTATGCCTCTAGGGGTCTCCAAAGAGAGGATCAGGAAACACGGGCAGGTCTAGCTACCAAAAAGTTTTTCCAACTAAGTTGGTAATCGAGATACCCTTGAAGTTTTTGTTATTTTGGGTCCAAGTGATCACCATGGCTTTGATGCGGTCGATTGGGGTGTTTGGATTGACCTCCCTACCCTCAAATATTCTTACATCTGTTTCAGTCCAATGGGTCCAAATGGTTGCAGCCATTGATACGCGCCACAAAAAAGTGCCTGCTGTTGGGAAGGGAGGTGAATAGAAGGCTTGGAAAAAGGTGAAGAATTGACTGGGGCGTAACCTATTGCTACCGAAAACTTTGTAGCAACTCAGTCCATAGTAGCATGGCCACCTTGCAGTGCAAAAACAAGTGGGCATTGTTGTCTTTGGCCATTTTGCATATGGGGTGGGGGTGGGGGTGGGGGATGTTAGGGTTTAGGCTTTAGGGACCTATTAGGAATGGGGAGCACTCTATGTTGCAGCATTTCCACTGTGAGAGCCTTCATGAGGATGGCAATCCAGCAGAAGGTTTCGATTTTAGGTGGCGTTAAACTTAGCCACTTTTTGATCGGTGAGACCCAAAATGACGTCAACACAAAGTTTGAATTTTTGAGGAATGCTCTAGAATTTATAGGTTTTAAAATTTGTCGGACTAAGACAGTATATGGAATGTAAGTTTAATAATAATAGGAGTAGAGACGAGGAAGTAGTTAAGATTGGTGGCCAAGAAATACCAAAAAGAGCGGATTTTCAATATCTTGGGTCGATAATCCAGGAAAATAGAGAGACTGAGGAAGATGTCACGCATAGAATAAAAGTTGGGTGGACGAAGTGAATATTTACAACCAGGGTTTAATGTGATAGCCGCATTCCAATGAAGCTAAAGGGCAAATTCTATAGGATAGCTGTGAGACCAACTTTGCTTTATGGGACAGAATGTAAGGCGGTCAAGAAACAACATACTCATAGAATGAGTATAGTTGAGATGAGGATGTTGAGAAGGATGAGTGGCAAGACAATAAATGATAGAATTCAAAATGAATACATTTGGGATAATTTAGGTGTGGCACCAATAGACGATAAAATGAGAGAAAGTAAACTTAGGTGGGTTAACCATGTGCAACGTAGATCCTATATATCACCTGTTAGGAGGTGCAAGTTAGTTCAAGCGGGAGGCTCAAAAAGGGCAAGGGGTTGATCCAAAAGCATGTGGTGGGAAGTAGTGAGAAAAAATATGGGGATTTGTAGCTTCACTGAGTATGACCCTTAATAGAGCAGAATAGTGGACCGGGATTTGTGTAGCCAACCCCAATTAGTTGGAAAAACGCTTTAATGATGATGATGATGAGCTCAATCATGCTCTTCTAGCAACCATGTAGTGGGGAGAAAGAGAGTTGGTTGGTTGGTTGTTGCAGAATATTGTGAAAAGAGGAAGCTGAGAATAAGCCGAAGCCCTTGGAGTCCATATTATGCGGTCTAGACCTGAAGGGGAAGATAAGAGTTGCTTAGAAGCCTTCACTAGGTTCATGGTCTTGTAGTTTCTCATTGCATATTTCAAATGAATGGTCTATGGTGGCCTCCAGTTTCACTGCTATGGTGGGGTGTCAAGTTTGCAGGGGTCATGTCTCCAATCCAGGTGCCAAGCCAGAATGTAACCCTCCTCCCCTCCCTGGCACAAAAAGAAATGTTTTGCTTAGAGTGGCTCAGGCTAGTCATAATACAATGCCAAATCCCGACTGTCTAGTGGTTGTTTGGGAAGAGGGGAGCCAAGCAAAGGTCAGTATGGTATTTCTGCCTCAATGCTGCCTGTCATAGATGGTTAGGTAGAGTTGCAAAGTGCCACCGATTGCACGATTTGAGGTATCGAATACCAAGAACCCTTTTATGTTTGGGTTGGGTGATAGTATTCTAGGATAACAGGTGAATATGGTGGCAGTCCTCCTCACCCAACCATAAGTAGTCCCTCATAAGTTTTTGTAAGCGCCGAGCAATGGATGCGGGAATGCTGAATTAGTACATCCAACACTGGGAGGTCAGAGTGGCATTGATAAGAGTGATGTGGCCGGCTCCAGATAGAAATCTGACCTTCCATGCCATGAGTTTACGGTCAAATTTTCCAACAATGGGAGCCCACTATTGCTTACTAGGTTTAGCAGTGCATAAGGGGAGACCAAGGTATTTGAAAGGGAGATTGTCTATGTCGCACCAATCAGGGTTGAGGAGGATTGATGATCAAAGGCAATCTTTGGATTTAGCAAGGTTTACTTTGAGACCAGTGGAAAGCTCAAGGCAATTTAGGTACTTCCTCAAGGTGTCCATCTGTTGCTCGATGGCACCACAGAAAATGAGGGCTTTGTTAGCATATCGCAGATGTGAGATTTGTGGTCCTTGGCTACTTTAAAGCCTTCGTGTAGGCCTTGTTGGTATAGTTTATCTATGGACCTAATGAAGACTTCGGCCACCAAGGCGAAGAGGAAAGGAGATGAGGGTTCTCCTTGGCAGACGCCCCTGGATGAGGGCAAGAAGCCGTTAGGGGCTCCATTGATTAGAACAAAAAACTAGGGTCCAAGATACACCTTTTAATCCAATCCCTCCACTTTGGGCCAAAGTCTATTTTTGACATGACCTCATCTAGTATATAGCCTGGTCGACATGATCATAGGCTTTCTCAAAGTTGTGCTTGACCACCACCGTAGGGATTTGAGTCAATGCACTTGTGCATGACTAAAGCACAGTCAAGGATTTACTTCTCTTTGACAAGGACTCCTTCGTTTGGTGAGATGACCCAATTCAAGAGCTCGTTTAGACAGGTTCCAAGACCCCTGGTTGGGATTTTTGAAGGAGCTATTCAAGAGGCTTATGGGTCTCAAATCCTTGAGATCCTCCATCCTTTCAACTTTAGCTAGGCTTATCTACCCGACTTATTGCAGATACAAATGCCTTGTAGGTAGACTGGTCTATGACAATAACTCAGCCTGATATAGCTTTTGACATGAGTATAGTGAGGTCACTGTATGCATTCTCTCAAAACACCACATTGGGAAGCGGTGAGGAGTTTGAGATATCTTAAGGGGGTCTCCAGGTCGAGGACTCATCTACAGGAGGAATAGCTATTTTAGCATTGATAGCTATTCTGATGCTGATTGGGAAAGGACTCGATCATACAAAAGATCTACTACGTGCTACTGTACATTTGTTGGAGGAAATTTGGTAACATGGAAATGTAAGAAAGGGAGTGTGATAGCAAGGTCGTGCAAAGGCTCAAGTATAAAGCAATGGATCACACTACATGTGAACTATTGTGGCTGAAAATCTTGATGCAGGAAATAGGATTTTCAGTTATTGAGCTAATAAAGATGTTTTGTGACACTCAGGTAGCCATCCATATTGCTAGCAATCCAAATTTTCATTGGAGAACAAAACATATTGAGGCAGATTGCCATTTTATTGGGGGGAAAGTGGCAAAGAAAGCGGATAACAGCTGCATGCTTGAAGTCAAAGGATCAGTTGGCTAATATATTCACCGAGGCTCGTGGTCCTAAACAAACTCAGTAAATTTGTTCCAAGCTGGGCATGGGTGACATCTATGCTCCAGCTTGAGGGGGAGTGTTCAAGATTAAATTATTTGGTGGGTATGAGTGTTTACTGCAGATTGTGGGGTATCTTGTTTTTTTTTTATAAACTTTAGGACATTGGGTTTCATTAAATTGCTTCAAGAGCATTATTGTAATTTGTATCAGCATCAATTGTTATCAATAAACATTAAGATGTGCATGGAGTTTGATCTAACCCTAAAGCATGTTTGGTTGGAGCGCAAATATTTCCCTAGGAAAAGTATTTACATATGTAAAAACTTTGCAGGAAAAACTTTTGCAAACTTTCTTTTCTCCATGTTTGTTAACACATTTAAAAAGCATTGTGTAATGAATTTCAAATGTTTGGTAACTTGATTTTGAATATATTTCATAAATATATATTTAAATATTATATATATTTAAATAAATTCAAATATATTTTATAAATATGTTAATTTATACATGCATAGTCTGGGAGGCAAGGCACACAGGGGATAGG